ATGATAGTTCTCGAGTACATCTTTTAATATAAAGCTGTAAACAAAGAAACATGGAAAATGCATGATTTTCATTATAGAAGATCTCGTAAGAGAACAAAATGTGGAATCCCAGTTTGTAGTGACTGGTAAAACAGTTCAGGGAAGGCATAGGAAATCCAGCAGCACAGCTGTTGCTGACAGTGTCAGGGCATCCTGCTGGCCATCCTGAACTTCACTTTGCTCATGGATTGTCACAAATTTAAACACATGGATAGCTCATTTATGGAAAGAAATCAAAAAGCTGTCTTTAAATTGGATGAAAGATGATCCCACATGAAAACAGAGCAAATAATTTCTGCATAATCTTCATTTCCAAATTGCCTATTTCCTGGAAGGTTTTCACCAAACTTGCAGTAATGAGCAGGCACCGGTCCCTCACTACACTTCAGAATTCAACTTCTTTGTTCCCACGCAGTAATGTTGAGAAGATTTTTTCCAATCCCAATCGTGGAAGAGAGCGATAAGCAGAAGTTGTCACAATATTGCAATACATTTGGGCCACTTCATTCTGCACTAATCGCGTCATGCACTAATTCTTAATTCCTGATTCTCCTAACTGCCTTTATAAGAGAAATCTTTAAATGTCTTTAAGAGAGCCTATGTTAGTGGCTTGTGCAAGTGTAATTTCTACCTTTATCCAGTTTGGGTTTTTTTGTTTGTTTTGTTTGGTTGGGTTTTTTTATGGGGGGAATATATTGGTTATATAGCAAACTCCATTTTTCCATGTGTACATCAGATAAAATTTCATTGTTGTCTTTGCTGGAAGCTAGATTCCCTCTCTTCCCCTCCCCCTCTGCCAGTCACAGGCTTTGTCCTTTATTGTGGAGAGTTCAGTGTATCTTGGGTTGCTTTTTCTCTTCATTTACCCTTCTAGCTTCAAAGAGAGAACAGTTGAGAGGCAGCTCCTTCAATAGTTTGTTGCAATTTGGTCTTGTCTTCCCAGTTGTCTCCCAGGCTCATGTGCAGTGTTGTTTCAGGGAAGCATTATCTAATCATTGTGCTGCTACAACTGGTATCTTATTTCTCTAAAAGTTTGGTAGATTAATTTTTAGAACCTTTTTTTTTTCATCCTTTGTCATTGTTCTTAAGCTAAGCTTTTATAGCAACAAATAAGGCAGTTTGGTTTTTTAACTGAGATTTTAATTTGTTTCAAAAAGCTTTTAGCAGTTTGATTCCTTTCAGAAACACAGTTGAGGAATAGTTCATCATCTAAAACTAACCACTATGTATATAGTTAGCTAGCAGTTTGCATTTCTGAGCTTCGTTTTTCAGTGGTGGCCTGTGATCTGCTTGCTGTACTGGAATAATTTGTGGAGGTCATGTGACCTCAGCCAAGCCAAAGCTGAACTCTTGAGCTTTTTAAGTACTTTTCAGTCTCTGATTAATTCTTGCTCTGATCACTTTGATATTCTGCTCTTTTCTGTATAAGATTATTCTTCCCTTAGCTACTCTATGGACTCCTGGTCTCCTTGAAATGTTAAAAATTACCTTAAGCCTCCTAATCTTCCAAAAAGAGAGGGACTACACAGCTTTAAAAATTAAAAAGATTGTTGCAGAGCACATATTATAACCTCAGCAGGTGGTTAGACATGTTTTTCTAATAAAAAACTTAAAAAATTAATTTCTGCAAGGAGTTGGGAGGCAGGTTTAACAGGCTGAAAGAGTGAAACAATACTCTGCAGAAAGTAAGTGTTAATCCTGGAAATAACTAAAAGTAAAGGGATTTTGAATGTCTTGTGAGGTGGTATACTGCAAAAAGTTGTGTAGCACAGCATTTGACTAGCATTTGAAATACAGATATGATTATTTTATGTTTCAACTATGCTTAAAATTTGTCATCTGATTTCTTACAGAGCTGATCCGTTATCCAATATGGTTCTTACTTTCTCTACTAAAGAAGATGCCATTGCCTTTGCTGAAAAAAATGGTATGTATTCTACATATTGGGTATAAGGGATTCAGCTATGTATAGGCAATCTGATCTCAAAGTATTAACAACAGAAAAAGTGCAGGATAAAGTACTTTTCCTCTGTTCCACAAAATTGGCAGATCGTTAGTGCTCTACTTGAGGAGGAGGAAAACGGGAATATTTCCAAGAGTGCAGAAGACATTGAATCTAGACCTTCCACTTTCTGGAAAAGTGTTTCAGCCTCTTAGCGTTACTATTGCAATGCTTTTGCAAGTATCTGTGTTTTCAATGAGAACTGAGCCTTGCTCAGGTCTTGGAGGAAGATTAATATTAATACTTTAAGAGTATCCCAGGCTGGAGGTCCAAGCTACATGCCAGTGGGATTTTTGACTGAAGGCTTGACATGAGCATTTCAATTCTATTTAAGGAAAGACTCTCAGAACTCTTGTGAATGTGTGGTAGAAAAACTAGAACTAAGTGACTACCGAGTAAGCACATTGGACTTTAGTTTTGGCCATGTTGCAGAATGAATTTGTCATAGAATCGTAGAATATCTCACAGTGGAGATGAGTGATGAGTGGTGTTACTCAGTGGTCAGTATTGGGACCGGCACTGTTCAACATCTTTGTTGGTGAGGGGGATCAAGTGCACTCTCAGCAAGTTTGCCAACACCACCAAGCTGTGTGGTGAGATTGACACATTGGAGGGAAGGGATGCCATCCAGAAGGACCTTGACAGGCTGGAGAGGTGAGCCTGTGTGAACTTCATGAAGTTCAACAAGGCCAAGTGCAAGGTCCTGCACGTGGGTCGGGGCAATCCCAAGCACGACTATAGGCTGGGTGGAGAATGGATTGAGAGCAGCCCCAAGGTGAAGGACTTGGGGGTATTGATTGATGAGAAGCTCAACATGAGCCGGCAGTGTGCGCTTGCAGCCCAGAAAGCCAACCGTGTCCTGGGCTGCATCAAGAGAGGCGTGACCAGCAGGTCAAGGGAGGTGATCCTGCCCCTCTACTCTGCTCTTGTGAGACCCCACCTGGAGTACTGCATGCAGCTCTGGGGGCCCCAGTACAAGAACGACATGGAGCTGTTGGAGTGAGTCCAGAGGAGGGCCACGAAGCTGACCAGAGGGCTGGAGCACCTCTCCTATGAAGACAGGCTGAGAGA